ACCAATTGATTTATAAAATTGAAAATGGAAAATGAAAATTTTTATATATTTTTACGTATTAAATGGAGTACTACACCGAGAAAACGGCAAATGACTGGACTATTTATTTAATGCTTTTTGAATTGATGTCTTGTTTTCGACAAATTGTTCCTCGAGTCTAACCGCAGCAGTAGCTGAATGTTTATTGAGTTGCTCAGGTTTGCGGTTTAAAATCTATTGAATGCCTTTGAATATATTATTACTTCAAGATTGATTGTATATGAAAATTTAGTAAGTTAAAAAAATAGGGCTCCTCAGTTTCACTATAATTTTTTCTATTATCTCCCTTATGAAACATTAGGAAATTTTTATTAGTACTAAGAATGTCTTGGACGTCTGGGTATGATTGTTTAAATTTTTTCTATGATTCCTCTTATGGAATATCAGGAAATTTGTGGTAGTACTCAAAATGCCTAAATCGAATGCCAATCCAGTGATTGGACGTCTGGTTATGATTGTTTAAAGGTTTTCTATATCTCTCTTCTAGAACATCAGAAAATTTTCGGTAGTACTTAAAATGTCTAAATCGAATGCCAATCCAGTGATTGGACGTCTGGGTATGGTTGCTTAAAATTTTTCTATAATCTCCTTTATGAAACATCAGAAAATTTTTGGTAGTACTAATAATAAGAATGTCTAAATCAAATGCCAATTCAGTGATTGGACTTACGGATAAGATGGTTATAATTTTTTCTATTATCTCCCTTATGGAACATTAGAAAATCTTTGGTACTTAGAGTGTCTAAATCGAATGCCAATCCAGCAATTGGACGTCTGAGAATGATTGTTTAAATTTTTTCTATAATCTCCTTTATGGAACATCAGCAAATTTTTGGCAGTACTAAAAATGTCTAAATGGAATGCCAATCCAGTCATTGGAGGTCCGGGTATGATGGTTTTAATTTTTTTTTTTATTATCTCCCTCATGAAACATCAGGAAATTTTTGGTAGTACTTACAATGCTTATATCGAATGCCAATGCAGTGATTGGACGTCCAGGTATGATGGTTATAATTTTTTGTATTATCTCCCTTATGGAATATCAGAAAATTTTTGGCAGTACTTAAAATGCCTAAATCGAATGGTAATACAGTCATTGGGCGTCCGAGTAAGATGGTTATAATTTTTTTTATTATCTCCCTTATGGAACATAAGAAATATTTGGCAGTACTAAGAATATCTGAATCGAAAGCCAATCCAGTGATTGGACGTCCGAGTATGATGGTTATACATTTTTTTATTATCTCCCTTATGGAACATCAGAAAATTTTTAAGTGTGTCTAAATGAACACCAATCCAGTGATTAGACGTCTGGGTATGATTGTTTAAAATTTTTCTATAATCTCCTTCATGGAACATCAGGAAATTTTTAGTAGGAATGTCTAAATGGAATGCCAATCCAGTCATTCCAGGTATGATGGTTGTAATTTTTATATTATCTCCTTTATGGACCATCAACTAAAATTTTGATAGTACTTAGAATGTCTAAATCGAATGCCAATCCAGTGATTGGACGTCCAGGTATGATGGTTACTATAAAATTATGGCTCGACAAAAAAGCTCCTGAATAAATTTCAAACTCCACTATACTTTACCATGCTCCTCAAACCTGTAGACCGACCGACCGGTAATAAAATCCGTTATGACTTCTATCTATTAACAGCAATTAATTCTCCGATGCATACAGTTGTTAATGCCACTTGGAACATCATTAGTCGTATTCAAGCGAGTAACATTTTCGTTATTTTTCTCATAGTTAAGATCGATAGTGTTCTCGACATTTTAATGTATGAGAATTGGTCGTCTTCCAATCACGAGACATATATTATCGTATCACGACTCTAGGCGATGCGATGGACTGCGCCCGTCGATTCGCACACAATATAAAAGAGCGTCCTTGGCGAGGACACCGAGGTAAGGTGCCATTTGGGATAGATGGCTGATCATCATAGAAATATATCACTTTATTTGAAATCTTTAAGTCTGGCTATTAAATAGTTTTTATTTTTGATCTTCAGGGGGTATTCTAGTGTAGAAATTCCAAAAATCGTTTTTTTTGTTTTTTTTATATTTTCAAAGCTTAACTCTTACAGAACATGTGTACGAGAAGATTTTTAAAATTTAACTTATTTGTGGAGATGCAGCTGTTTGACCATGATAATCCTCTTCTGTTTCCTTCCTTTTGCCAAACTTTGAACGCGTTTTTCTTAAAACTGTTTTTTTTTTCAATACGATGTCCACTGGGCCGAGTTCTAATTGGCCGATTCACTTGAAATTTTCGGAGATTCTTCTTTACAGACTTCTTTCTGTCATATTCTAGCCTCGCTCCAAATTTCGATTTTTACTATTTTTAAAAAATTCGAGAAATTCAGTGGTAATAAAATGGTCTTTCTTTCAAACAGTCGCCATTTTGTCTAAAAAATTATTATTGAAGTAAAACTTCTTTAGGCGTGACTAGGATGTAAATCCGTACAAATGCAACGGAAGTGCGTTACGGCAGATAAGATAAGATAAGAGTCAAGTGCCGATGATTCGTCATTCGCTCTCGATGATATCATTTCTATACGGGCCGATTGTGATTAGTCGTCGCGTATGTGAATAGAGATCTATCGTCAATGAATGTATGTTAATTTTAATTACATGAAGTTCTTCAAACACAATTATTGCATGATAAGTAAAGTTGCGAAAACATTATTTGTTTAGGCGTTGTTTAACATAATCCACTGTATGAACGCATATTATAGAAGTTATTTATCAGCAATTACTTCACTTCTCTAATGAAGGTTCATTTCTAAATGCTAATTACAATGACAAACCGATCATTTCATATTTGAAGTATGACTTTAATTACATTATTGTTTTTAAATATTATACATATTCCTAATGCTATTATAAATATATGATTTATAATTTATCATTATATAAATGTGTATAATGGTCGACACTAATAAATGTGTGCATCATGAGTGTTACCATATTACTGATAAAAATTATTCAAAATTGTTATATAATGTATTCATTTTTACTTAAATGCCATCTTGTACAGTAGCAAATAAGTTTTACTTCAATCGCGTGTGAACCTTACGCGCACTCTTTTTTTATATCCTAGTATATGTCATTGCGACATCGTAAGATGATCTAGATATCTATCTAGATTAATATTCTTTTTTTCATTTTGTATTACTAGGAAGATTGCGATCGTGGCCATGGTCACGTGTCAACTTTTTGTGACCCCTCACATCAACTACTGCTAATTTTTAATTATCATTTTTTACTTTTTTTCTATATCCTTGTAACGTTGATGAATAAATTATACAAAAAATAATAGTAAAAAAGATATTGCTATTTATTATTACCTGCACACATCTGAT